AATATTTGGTTATAGGTTTTTTCTTTCGAATAGTTGTTCCGTAGTTAAGTTTTGGTAAATTCTGTATCCGTCTACTCCGTCTGACGGATATGTTTATACCATTATATTCTATTGTTTCGGTATAATAAATCAGGGCCATCACATACCTAAAAATCTATTCGGTAAACACTGAATAGAATATAATATATAAAATAAAAAAAAATAAAAAAAAATAAAAAAAAATAAAATAAAATAAATAAATAAACTAATGAATTATTTTCCTCCACGTTTCCTCTTCTTTGTATTTTTCTCTTCATCTTCACTTTCATTCGATTCAAGTTGTTTTTTTTCAAGTTTAGTTAAATGTTCGAAGTACGCGTCAATAACATAATCACATTGTTGTCTCACTCTATACATTGGACCACGTAAAATCTTATCTTTAAAATTAGTGGCTTTACTAAAATTAGAATCATTTCTATTACGCACTAACTTCGAATTAGCTTTGATCTTATTCATCTCTTCAAATTGAAGCTCAAAAAATTTCTTAAGTTTCGAAAGGAAAATTGATCGTTCGGTATCATCATTTGAACATATTTTTTCTAAACTTTTTTCAAATACGTGTTTTGAGAGAGAAATAGTTGAGTCAAAAAGCAAAATCAGGATCGTAGGATTTAAGTTCCGGAACATCGTTTTGGTTGGAATCGGTTTGAGACATTTAGAAAGTAGAAATCGAGATTGTGAAATTAGAATCGTAAAAATTGATTTGTAAAAATTCCAAAGAATTACATGAATAAATTTCTAGTTGGTCCATAGACTAACTAGATATACATAGATAAAATTTTAAACAATTCAAAATAACTTATAAAATATAAAACTATAATAATAATAATTGATCTATGATAACGAAGATAAGTGATTCCAAGAATTTTCTTGAATACATGAACCAAAATTTTATCAATAACTTGGGACAAATTTAAATTTGATGTATCGATCGCATAAGAAACATTTTGGGCTTGATCGAGTAAAGAATCGGCATCTTGTTTAATAATATTAAAATATAGTTTGGTGAAATCTGGATTTAAAAGCTCTTTTCCGAAAAATGAATTTAAAAAATCATTTGAATTATTAATCTGATTAAAACGACGTGTAGTTCGTGTATTAACATTTGCGGTTAAAAATATCTTTACTTCCGCATCAGGTAAATATTTTGTTGTGATATCTCTACCGACAACAACAAACCCTTTATTTTTAACGATCGATCTGATTTTTTAGTTAACCAAATCACGTATTTTTTCATCTATTTCAAAATTGTTTGGTTCTGATTCATCTTTGAAAGATTCGACCTTGTTTAAAAAAGAGTCGTCTTCAAGAACTTGTCTGATTTCTTCAATTGAAAAATGGGTATAATTGTGATTGATGTATTGATAAAATAACTGAGAATCAATAAAGCGATAACCATATTGACTCGCAATTCTTTCTCCAACTG